TACCCACAATTCATTTGACCCCCTTCCAACCCTGGCCCTTACCCACAATTCACTTGCCCCTCCCCCCTCCAACCCCGGCCCTTACCCACAATTCACTTGCTGTGGGTTCAGTCGCCTGCAGCCGACGCGGGTTTCCCGGCGCGGATGGTCGTCCTCCTGACGCCTCCTCAGAGGGTCACTCGCAGCCTAACGCCACGTTAGTCACGTGCCTGCTCCCTCATGTCACCTCCTCATGTGGCGCTTTATCACCTCACATCCTCCCAGGAGGAAGCACTATGACAGAGAGGGCACAGTCACATAACCTGTGTTTCAGTCCTGTCGCAATCACTCTGTTTTACCCTGAGTTACCGCTTTCACCTCATGCGGGGCCCGGTGTATACATTAGGCGTTATCAGAAAGCACACGGTATATATGGGTTCTTGCTTTCAGCGTCCGCTGGGGGCTGGAAACCCCCCAGATGAGGAGCGGGGCGGCGGCTATATAATAACCGAGAGGGAGACTGGAGAGGTCTTGCTGGTGAGTTCCAGCACTTCGCTGGGGCTCTCAAATTAGCCTTTCTTTTTCTTTCTTTTTTTTTTTTTTTAATTGATTTATTTTGAGAGAGAGGGAGGGAGAGAGAATCCCAAGCAGTTTCTGCACCATTAGTGCAGAGCCTGATGCGGGGCTCGAACTCACGAAACCGTGAGATCAAGACTGGAGCTGAAACCAAGAGTCGGAGGCTTAACCCACTGAGCCAACCAGGCACCCCTCAAATTAGGATTTCAGTCACCTCACTGGCGTTGCAGGACGGACAGCCACTGTGGCACAGTGACTGGGCCACGCAGGCACACCGGTTCCTCAGAAACCCTCCAGAAAACATCTGAGCGGGAACAGCATCCTGTGCGACTTCAGAGAAGAACCTTGGACTTCCTCAAACCTCATTATGGCTGAGAATGAGCTCCCCAGGTCGGTCCTGGCAAAAGCAACTTGGTGTCTTTAAAACCACAATGCAACGAGGCAACTCTAAAAAGGATACTTGTGAGGCAGTCTGGGAAATTTCAACACTTCCCTTTGATGATATTAAGGAATAGCTTGGTTTTTCAGACATGCTGGTGCGTTGTAAGTAAGTTTTTGAGAAGGAATCCTTGGCTATTAGAGATGCCAACAGCTACAACCGGCTTCAAACAATCTAGGGATGCAGAGAAGAGGGTCAGTGTAGACATGGAGTTGGATTGGCCATGAGTTGCTAATTGCTCAAGCTGGGGGGTCAGTGGGGCTCATTCCACCGTTCTGCTTTGGTATGTGTTTGGAATTTCTCATTAAAACCTCCGCAAAGCCGGGACACCCAGCTGGCTCAGCAGGTGGAGCTTGAGACTCCTGATCTTGGGTCATGTGTTTGAGCCCTAAGTTGGGGTAGAGATTGCTTAAAAAAAACTTTTTTAAGCCGGGGTGCCTGGGTGGCCCAGTCGGCTGAGCGTCTGGCTTTGGCTCAGATCATGATCTCGCCGTCTGTGAGTTCGAGTTCGAGCCCCGCGTTGGGCTCTGTGCTGACAGTTCGGAGCCTGGATCCTGCCTCGGATTCTGTGTCTCCCTCTCCACCCCTCCCCCACTCATGCTCTGTCTCTCTCACTCTCAAAAATGAATAAATGTTAGAAAAAATTTTTTTAACTTTTTTAAGGGGCACCTGGGTGGCTCAGACAGTGGAGCATCCAACTCTTGATTTTGGCTCAGATCATGATCTCACGATCCGTGAGATCAAGCCCCGTGTTGGGCTCTATGCTGACAGTGTGGAGCCTGCTTGGGATTCTCTCTCTCCCTCTCTCTCTGCCCCTCCCCTGCTTGCTCTCTCTCTCTCTCTCAAAATAAATAAATAAACATTAAAAAAATAAAACTGCATGGGCACCTGGGTGGCTCAGTCAGTTAAGCATCAGACTTCGGCTCAGGTCATGATCTCAGGGTTCATGAGTTTGAGCCCCTCATGGAGCTGCCTGCTTCACATCTGCTGTGTCCCTCTCTCCCTCTGCCCCTCCCCCACTCTCTTTCTCTCTTAAAAGCAAATAAACATTAAAAAAAAAAACGGCTGAGACATCTCATTACACAGAGAGGTCATCTAATGTAAGTCTGTAACTATAAAAGACATTTTATTCATTCATTCACTCGTTCAAAAATATAATTACATATAATATATATAATTATATACCTATAAGTATGGTAAAATTCATTTAATGTAAAATTCACCATTTCAACCATTTTATAGTATGCATTATGTCAATTATAGCTCAAAAAAAAAAAAAAGTGTAGGGGCCCCTGGGTGGCTCAGTCGGTTGAGCGACTGACTGACTCTTGATTTCAGCTCAGGTCATGATCCCAGGGTGCTGGGATCAAGCCCCACATTGGGCTCTGCACTAACAGCTCGGAGACTGCTCGGGATTCTCTCTCTCTCCCTCTCTTTCTGCCGCTCACCTGCTCACACTGTCTCTGTCTCTCTCTCTCAGAATAAATACACCTAAAAAAAATAAAATTCAGAAAGTACACAAGAGTTTGCAGTGAAAAGCTTCCCTCCGACCTCTCTGCCCCAGTGGCACACAGCTTCCTCTCCAGAGGCATCTGTTTCCCACACACCCTTCCAGAGATTAAACCTCCCCTCCCCGCTGGTTCACCAGAATGGTACCATTTTGTACACACCGCTTTGCAGCTGGCCTTTCCCCCATCACTTACCTTGGGTTCATTCTGTAACAGAACACAAACAGCTCCTTCCCTTTTTCCCAGCTGCGTAGTACTCCACACGGTCAGGCTGCTTCACCCCTGTGGTAAGTGCTTCGGGGTTCTGGAAACTCTTTTCCCAGCCAGCTCAGAGTCTAAAAAGCACTTTATTTTGATAAGGGGGCAATAAAGACAAACCAGAGGCTTCTGCCTCGAGGCCGACCATCATCGGAGCTATCTTCGCAGACGGGCCCTCGGAAGGGCAAAGGCAGCTAACCTGGAGGGTTCTCCAGGGGATCTGCCAGGTGTTGCTGGTGAAGGTGGCAGGGAATTGCTGGCCATCTTAGCCTCTAGGACATAATTGATCGTGTCACCTGTGTCCTCCCTTCTTTCCTGATTAGAAAAGAAAGGACTTCTTGGGGAAATTGAGAAGTGCATACAGAAGCAGAAATTTACCCAGAGTTGTTTGTAAGCATTTAAAAAAATTTTTTGTTAATGCTTATTTTTGAGACAGAGAGAGACAGAGCATGAACGGGGGAGGGTCAGAGAGAGAGGGAGACACAGAATCCGAAGCAGGCTCCAGGCTCGGAGCTGTCAGCACAGAGCCCAACGTGGGGCTTGAACTCACAGATGGTGAGGTCATGACCTGAGCTGAAGTCGGACGCTCAACCGACTGAGCCACCCAGGCGCCCCTGGAAGCATTTTTAATAGCTGCTTAAAACTGAATTGTACTGGGAGGTGCCTGGGTGGCTCAGTCAGTTGGGTGTCCAACGCTGATTACAGCCCAGGTCATGGTCTTGAGGTACGTGGGATGGGGCCCCACATTGGGCTCCATGCTGAGAGCACAGAGCCTGCTTGGGATTCTCTCTCTCTCTTTCTCTGCCCCTGTCTCACTTGTGCGCGCGCGCTCTCTCTCTCTCTCTCTCAAATAAATAAACTTAATAAAAAACTGAATTGCATTGGGGTGCCTGGGTGGCTCAGTCATTTAAGCATCCGACTCTTGATTTTGGCTCAGGTCACGATCTCATGGTTCATAGGTTTGAGCCCCACATCAGGCTCTACACTGAGCTGAGGCTGGTTGAGATTCTCTCCTTTCTTGGCTCTCTGCCCCTCCCCCACTTGTCCTCTCCCCCCCCAAAAATTAATAAACTTTAAAACTGTATTGCATTGAAACACTGTAACTTACTTATCTCTGCTTTCACTTCTGCATCTTAGAGATCCAGGAACTAAAGCCACATCAGATGTTTATTTTAAGGAGCTAGAGAAACATCTAAGTCCATGCACCAAATGAGACAGGTAAGACACTTGGCACCAGGTATGAATATTTGAAAATTATCTCTACGAAACAGAAACCGTATTAATGAATAATCTCGAGGATGAAGAGAAGACCAGTGGCTGATAATGAAGGCTTCGGGGATTCCAACAGTTACTGGATAGTAAGCTAAGAACCCTGCATATTAAATAGAGGAACATTTATTTATTTTTTTTTCAACGTTTATTTATTTTTGCGACGGAGAGAGACAGAGCATGAACGGGGGAGGGGCAGAGAGAGAGGGAGACACAGAATCGGAAACAGGCTCCAGGCTCTGAGCCATCAGCCCAGAGCCCGACGCGGGGCTCGAACTCACGGACCGCGAGATCGTGACCTGGCTGAAGTCGGACGCTTAGCCGACTGCGCCACCCAGGCGCCCCGAGGAACATTTATTTAAATAGAATAGAAGCCCTGTCTCCTCAGTAACTACAGGAGACGCCTGCCAACCTAGGCACTAAACGTTTGCTAGCTTGGACGGAGCGCGCGGCCGGAGGGAGAGGCACCTGGGATGCGGGAAGAGAATTCGTGGACGGCATACGTGTTGGGGCAGGGGCTGCAGCGCGCAGGTGGTAGTGGAATCCACAGGAACAGCCACAACTCGTGCGAAGAGTGTGGAGGATGAGGAGAGGTCAAGGGCAGAGTCCCGGGCACGCTGGCGGCCGAGAGCGTGGGGAGTGTCACTATAGCCCGGGGCTCTGAGCACGGCCTCGTCAACAACCCCACCCCAGAAACTCTTCCTGCCCGACCCGGGTGGACAGCGCTGGCAGGAGGGCTTGGGAACCTTTAGGGATGTCTGGATCAGCAGGGGACTTGGGAGGGGAGAGCAGGGGAGAAGGGTTTTAGGGCCTAAAAAGAGGTCCCTATCACCAGGGACCTGAAAAACGCACAGAACTCTTCCTTCCCTAACAATACAGTTTCCCCTGAAAATGGACCTAATAATAGGCCTCACACTACTACCACGGCTAAATTGGACTCCACTGACTCACAAGTCTTTTTATGTCTTCAGTTCCGATCCCTGCTTCCCATACAACTCGGTAAATGACAACACCGTTGTTCTTTCCCGAAGAATCTATTTCAGGGATGGGCAGTGGATGGTCTCCGGCTGTGTGCTATTATTACCTGCGGCGTAGCGGGGCCTTTTATAGCATTCGTTTCAAACATAAAGGAGAAGGGGGAATGCAAAATGAAGCGGAGTGCTGTCTTGCAAGGCAAATCTCCTGAGATGAATGTCTTTCTCCCGAAGTCCCCGGTGTCAGGGGGAAACACCGGACGAGACGGCCACTCCATAAATCTTGCCGCACGGTGTTTGCGCGCATCCTCGTGGGTTAGAAGCAGCATTCGACCGAGAGAGTCTGTTGAGTGAAACATCACCGGCTCCCGTTTGACCAAAAATGGCTACAGATAAACAAGTCTCATCCCTGGCAGGATGCGGCTCCGTCTGGCAAATGTTTATCAAGCGCCAGCTGTGTTCCAGGGATGCAGAGGTGGAGAGCCACGGTCCGTGGCCCCTGGTAGCCCCCGGGGTACACCGGGAAAGGACACTCTGGGTCATCGATGGGAAGGAGGCAGTGCCTTCGCAAAGAACGTGTACTGTTCACTGTCAATTAATAAACTAGCATCTGGTTTACTCA